ATGCTACCCGAAGGAAGCACGAAGGCTGAGATACTGCCAGGTTACCCAAACATAAACAGGGGAGATCGAGAGGCAGAGGTCGGGTTGGAACCATGGACCTTCCGGTCAGCGGATTCGCGCTCTAACCACTTGAACCATCTTGCATTACAACTTCCGCAATAACTTCCAAGGACTTGGACACTCCGTTGTTGCTACTCTCAGCTGCTTGAAGTACTGTCTACAGAACCCAAAGCATACCATCAAACAGGGATCAAGCAGCTCCTGGATGCCCCCTCCCCATGAGCTCCTTGTTTAACTCTTTTCTGTCTCTAATTAATCCGGATATCTTATCCTCAGTAAGAGCCCTCTTCCACACGGTCTTGGATTCAGCTCTGTATTCTGTTGCCAGGCCAATTTGTTCTGGAAAACCTGGTTCTATCGGCGGCAAACATGCGTTCCCCCGCCGCTTGACTGTTCGGTCGAGTTTCCCCATGATCACGAATGAACCATTCGCCTACCATGCTCTCTGTTAACTGTTCACGCCAAAGGCGATTTAAAGGTGACCGGTAAGTTATCCATGTGAAAAGGTGCTACGTTACAAAGAACTGTTGTGGTGTGGAGGTTAGTCGGAAGGCTGTTACGTCTACACTTGACTTCTTTCTCCGGACAGCCGGCCGTGGAAGCCTCCATACCATTCACTTGTAGGGGGGTTACAGTGCTCAGCAGCCTTCCTCTAAGAAATCGAGCCATCCGTTGACAGATACGAAAAGCCACTGCTTAGAAAAACTTCTCTATTAATAAGCAGCTTTGAACGGGAAGGGTGGAATACTTTGCGCTAAGGCATGAGCCTCCGGTTCATTTGAGATTCATAAACAACTTGTGATGCTTCCTGGAAGTTCATTTTTTTTTAATTCTGAAGCAGAATGCGTACGGGTTCAAAGGACAAAAACCAAAAACCAGTATGAAAACTTCCATGTGGATCACGTGATAAGCCTGTGATAGGAGGAAATGTACTCTCTCCGAGGTTATTGTACTTGGAGTGTACCAAAAGTCCAAGTAAAACCCTTGTGGTCAATGGCGTGCAATTTACATTGAATGACTCGAATGTGACACTGAACCGTACCCCTAACTGGATCCCTTCTTTGGGGGTATCACAACTAGGGGTTTCTGCACATTTGTCTACCTAATTCACTATTTCGTTGGAATGACAGAAAATCGATATCACATCGCCAGTTTGATGTTTTTTGAGGAATACTGCGAGAGGGAGATCCCAGTTCATAGATATTATCTGCCAGGGAGGGGAGGCTTCACGCTCCTTGAGAGGTTTCCCATTTGGGCTTGGTTTGTAGATTCGAAATGCGGATTTGAAAAATTCTAAGATTCTTTCAGTTGATAGATAATCTTGCGACGAATTTTCTAAGGTTAGAACTTGAATAAACCCGTGTTGAATTAGCTTGGCATGACGAACATTAATAGAAGTTACATGGAAAAGATGACACATCATACTCAGCTCAAGTTTCTTCGTCCACTCAACAGCTCATATTTATAGGTACTGATTTACTCCGGGGTTAAATCAGTAGTATTGGTGGTGTTAGCGATTTCACCTGTTGATACACTTCACACGAATATGCGACACAGATAAGTTCTTGTACTTTGGTTGTAAGACATTAAAAAGGCAGGAGTTAGTTTCTCCGACAGCTCACTGAAGCTGTTGGGAAGCTAGGGTCGCGTTTTGCTGACCAAAAGTTCCCTTACATTCCTTTGCCTGTGTAGTTAGTTGCAAGCAACCCGACTTGGTCGAGGAGAATGAGTTTGGCAATCGCACTAAATTCTCTCGAATAAACCAGAGCAATTCATCGTTCGAAAGACGAACGGTGGTGAGAAAATTTAGAAAGTGGAAGTCGTTTGGGACGCGAAGCGGATTTACGAGAAAACACTACTTGCATGCCTCATCAGTATTATCCACCGTTACACGAGGAAGCAGTCCGGGAGTGCGTGGACAAAGTTTGTAGCAGTACAAATCACATGACCTGACGACCGTACAAGCAAACTGGATCCCATTCCTGGATGACTCATGAACTTATTCGCAGCAACTCAAAGAGGAAGTTCATGGATGAGAGCACTTTTAGGGTGAAGAACAATACCAGTGATATTAAGTAAAAAAGTGGAGGGGAATCTTCTCGAAACTTCATCCGGTAGACTAGGTGAACCATGGACAGAAATATGAAAACTGGTGAAAAAAACGTTTACGAAAATTAGGTAAGGTTTGAGAGTTTACAGAAGACAAACTAACATTTTGTAAGACTACTAGAATAATGTTTTTAGAATGCACGAACCTAGGAACAGCTTTGAAGCTGTCATTTTGATTACTGTTCCACCACAGTTCATGAACTGTTGCCATGCGAAATCTGCGCCGAAAGCTTGTTTCCAAAACCCATTATAAATTGTCACTTTCGATGGAACATGATTGGGCAACGATAAAAGCAACACGCCGAAAAGGAAGTTTTGATACAATGTGGCGCCATTTGTTTTGGAGGCTTCGTGACATGGGGCTAGTCCACTGATTCGGATTGGAGTGGAAGGGTAAATCTCCCTGAATAGCCTGTAGCCACATTTGGGGTAGCGGAACAAAAGGGATCTTTTCAAGATGAGTCCCGCCACTAATGCAAAAAGTGCATGTGCGAAAAGTTAAGCCCCGCCCCAATTTTCGCCAGCTCCAATTTAATATACGCACACCTATTTTTGGTGAAAACAATTCATAATCCGCATCTGGGCTCATTTTGTGCAACTATTTTCTCCGTTCGGACGTAAAACCTTAAATGAACTATCTGACGCTTTCAACTCTCGGTAATGACAAGGAGACGGCAATACGTTTTTCGCAAACCCAAAAAGTGATCCATCAGCAACGTTTATGCAACAATGGCCACCAAATGACACCTTCAACTGTTTCTGATAGGTGGAGGTGTAATGCCCGACAATGTCGGCATGAAATCGGTCTTCGAAAGGGACTTTGGCTAGAGCGGTCTAGGATGGAGTTTAGGACAGTAATTCTATACATTTGTTGCTGGTCCAAATATTTGGCAAAAATCAAATTCTGCTCAAAAGAATTATCTATTAGCCACACAGCCGCTGCTGACTGGAAGAACTTTCTTCGCGAAGTTCGCACTTGGCGGCTGCAGACACCAACAGTTATCGGCGGCCCAGGTCTGCACGTCGAGATCGATAAAACGCTAATATTTCGCTGGAAAAACCACGCAGGGCAAGTCATTCCCAGCAGTGGATTTTCCGAGAGATCTGCCGAGAAACTAAAGAGGTGTTCATGTATGACGTGCCAGGTAGAACTGCGGCCACTTTGATGGACACAATCCAGGCCTACATCGCTCCCGACTCAATCCTAATCTCCGATACGAAGACATCATACCAAAGAATTGAAACGATGATTGACATGAATTATAGTCATGAAACGGTTAATCATGGCGAAAACTTTGTGGATCCACCCACTGGAGCTCACACACAAACCATCGAATCTNTCATGTACCACTTGAATCCAAATGGCACGAAAATATCGAAATGCAGTCGTTCGCAAACTGATTTGTTTTTTCGAGAAAACCACCTCGGTTTTGATGTCTATAGGCACGATTTGTTAGCCTAAAATGGCGGAAGCCACTCTCTAACTGAGTGAGGTGGAAACATCGCACATCCCTGCTTGATTCTACTCGCACCTAGTTAGAATCTTCATGTGATGTGACATATAACCACGTCGAGTAGCAGCGGTTTTCTCAGTTTCTAGTCGGACTGCTCAGCGGAGTTTTATCTGTCGTTGTAACATCATGTTCACAAAAGAGGTCGCTCCGATTCCATCAGCAGTGTCTTGCCTCGATATGATGCTCAGTCGTGCTTACCTCGCTAGTATTCCAAGGTTCGTCTTCCACCTGCTGTTTGCAGCAAGTCCCCACCCCTCTCTGTTTTCTTTCCACTCTTTACTAGGGCATTCCTCTTCATGGTTGTATGGCGGCTGATTATCAGCGTTACCGCCGGTATGGTTGTTGTTTCTGATGATGATGATAACGATGCTGACGAAGGTGATGATGATGTCCCCCACGGAATGTTAGGCAGGAATCCACACGGATCCCACTATACCGCGTCTTTAGGCGCTGCTACGGCCGATAAGCCTGGCTCGCACGAGGTTGGCCCAGAATTCGGGACGCTTGCCGGTCCGGCATCAAGACGAGATCTGACTGGTCAACAATCTGGACCCAACAGCCAATCATGACCCAGTATTGGCCAAATGCCGG